GCCATATTTTCCGTATCTGTGAATCCATATAGACGCGTGGATTCTTTCATCGCGGCTTTGAACGCTAACCATTCCGCGGCCGAACCGTTAAAAATAGGCAAGTCCTGCGTCTGCTTCGCGGCAGCGGGCCTAACTCTGACCATATTCTCCAGAGCTTCCGCTAGTCGCTCTATACCCCTATCCTTTCCTCGCGGAGTAAGCGACCTATCTCTATCCCTATCTCTCTCTAGCCTACGCTGTGGCGCTGGCGTCCTATGCGCACCTACATCCCTATACGGCGACGATAATCTACGATCCGTGCGGCGATGTGGCGATGGCGATCTACGTACACCTACATCCCTATGCGGCGACGGTGATCTACGATCCGCGTGGCGATGTGGCGATCTATGTGTAGGCGATAGAGTGCGGCGTTGGACGCGCGACGGCGACGTAACCCGTACACGACGATCCACCTGGTTCATTCCTACGGCGACTCCATCTTCCCTCTGTACCGAATCTATGCGGCGCGGTTGAACGTTATTCACTTCCGTCCTCCCCTGGGCATCTTCACTGTGGTCGTAACCGGTTACCCTGTTCGGTAGGGTCTGCTCTAACTCGATGCGGGGCGCGGGCTGAGAGGGGCGGGAAGGCGACTCCCCCCGCACAGTCTCTACGTTCTCTAACCACCTATCAACGCGTACCCTATTTTCAACTAACTCGTCTTCGTTGACACTTTCCCTATCTGTTTCTTCTTGCAGTTGCGCGACGTCCCTAGCGTACTTCTTCCTAATAAGATCTTCTTCCAACTGCAATTGCTTCCTCCTAATTGCAGCTAGTTCCTCCGCGGCGTTATATTCAATTTGCTTTAATTTAGCTATCGCACTAGCCGTCGACCGGGCTGAACGAACGGAGCGAACCGACGGGGCGCGGGGCGCGGGCCTATGTACGTCTGTTACAGGCGCGACGGTACGTACTATCGAACTAATCTCTGTAGACGGAAGATCTTCTATAATCGCGGCGAGTGTCTCTGTACGCGGGGCGGAAATGCTAACCTCTCCCAAACGATCGGTCGTGGACACGGACATAGCGGGGCGCGGCGGCGGGGGCGCGGGCGCGGGCGTAGATGCGGGCGCGGGCGGGGCCTGGAGCGCGGGCGCGGCGGAGGGCGCTTGTGCCATCGTGAGATAATCGGACGGGGACGCGGGTGCTTCTTCGAATATGCGCATTCGTACCGGCGTGTCATCATCGTTCCGTGTCTTCTGGCTTCGTGTCTTCCTCATGGTCCCACGTTGCGACCTCCGGTCGTCTTCAAAAAGACGTACGTACAGTCTTTAAAAAGACACACGTATGGATGTCGTTCCCGCCACAAGGGCGTTACCAGATGGTCACAGTTTGGCACCGTTAGGGAGTGACCACTGGCCGCGTAAACGCGGTTAAGAAACAAGAAATTGTCTGGAAACAGACAATAGACGTGTATGACGTAGGCGTAACAAGAAACAGGGAAGAAATTAGTACCGACGATCTTCTCTCTTCGTCGACGAACTTCTTTCTTCCTTGAAGATCTTCTATAATAATCTTCTCTCTTCTGTAATTATGTTCTTTCTTCTATAATTACGTTCTTTCTTCTATAACTGCCTTCTTTCTTGTTTCTTCTTACTTCTTTCTTCTTTCTTCCTTCTTCTGGCTGCTATCCGGCGACGATGGACCAAGATAAAGTGGATGGAGAGTAGTGGACTGTATTTATACTTTAACTGGCGGTGTGAGGTTAGCTATACTAGGGGACTGCTCGAAGAAAAGATGGTACTTTTAACTATACTATATTCACTATTTACAAAGGGTTCGGCACTATTAACTAAATCACTATTCAAAGAGGGAGGTCTTCAGTATGGAGTCTTCTTCCAGGTTTTCTGTCTTGATTCTTCCTTGTTGTCTTCTCGAGTGCCGCTTCCGAATGAACGCCCACGGCCTAAATCGCCCTTCTTATATTCCCGAGGAGAGCGCTTCATTCCGTGGGGTTATCCGCCCGATGGCAATTTTCGCCGCACGCGCGCTGATTGGTTGCCCGATGTCGCGTGATCAGCGCCGGCGTGCGGGGTGCGCGGGACGTAACGGGGAACGAAGGGGCGACGGGGCGGCGGGTCTCTCGCTGTCCGTAACAATGACAAATAAAAGTTGTTTTATCCATGATTTATAAAGTACATATAAATTATACGTTCCAATTATATTTATATTCGATTGAAATGATTAGTATTTTTTTATTTTTTTTATTTTATAGAATAGGGGGCAAACGAGCATGCGGCTCACCTGATGGTAAGTGACTACCGCCGCCCATGAACAACCGCAACACCAGGGGAATTGCAGATGCGCTGCCGGCCTTTTAGAAAGGTGTAAGCTCTTTTCTTGAAGGTTCCAAAGTCGTATCGGTTCGGAAAATTCGCTGGTGGTAATTGATTCCACAAAGAAGTTGTGCGAGGGAGAAAACTTCTTCTAAATCGCACAGTGGTGGACCGCCAATTATCCAGATGGTATGGATGGTTACGCGAGTTTTGTCGCGACGTGCGATGGTGAAATAGAGCAGCTGGAATTAGTCCGAACAATTCCTCAGAGCACTCCCCGTGATAGATGCGATAAAATACGCAAAGAGATGCAACATCTCTACGCAGTGCCAGTGTATCGAGCCGATCGGAAAGAACTCGGTCGTCGACGATTCGAATCGCTCTGCGCTGGATGCGGTCAAGTGGAAGGAGCTGGCACTGGGGTGCCCCGGCCCAGAGATGAGAACAGTATTCCATGTGGGGCCGAACTTGCGCTTTGTAAAGTTGCAAGCGATGTGCCGGCATGAAATACTGTCTCGCTCTGCTGAGCACGCCAAGCTTTTTAGAGGCCAATTTGGCCTTCCCTTTCAAGTGACCACGAAACTGCACGCTATTCGATATGTCGACGCTAAGGATTCCGATACTGGCTGAGGCAGCAAGGGGAGTGCCTTGAAACTAAGGAGATACGACAAAGGGGTTCTTTTTATCGGTAAACGCGCAAACTTGTGTCTTCTGGAGATTGAACTGGACTAGATTTAGTCGGCCCCAATCCGAGACTTTGTTAAGCAGAGACTCGACTTCAGACACAAGTTTGTCCCGGTACTCGGCGACGTTTTCCCGAGAAATATTGGCACGGCCGGTATATAAGGCATCCCCAGTGCTGTCGTCTGCATAGCAATGAATGCTACCAGTTAGCAACATATCATTGATATGCAGGAGAAACAGCGTTGGTGACAGCACGCAGCCTTGTGGAACACCAGCGTTGATAGGCTTGAAATCAGAGCATGCACCGTCTACTACGACCTTGATGCTCCGATCAGCAAGGAAACTGGTGATCCATTTGCACAATTTCTCGGGAAGCCCATAGGAAGGAAGCTTCGAAAGAAGCGCCTTGTGCCAGACCCGATCGAAGGCCTTCGCTATGTCCAAACTAACGGTCAAAGGGGGAGGCCCTTGGACTCTACTGCCTCTGCCCATCTATGAGTTTAGTAAACTAGAAGATCACCTGCTGATCGACCCCGACGAAAACCGTATTGACGGACACTGATCATGATGATGATCTGAGCTGGTGAGCCTCAAGGTACCTCATGAGCTGGCAGTTTATAATGGATTCCATTATTTTGAAGAACAAGGAGGTGATGGCGATAGGCCTGTAGTTGGACGGGTCTGAGCGGTCGCCTTTTTTAGGGATCGGGTGGACCAAAGCTGTCTTCCATGAATTCGGGACTACGCCTTGGGTGTAGGAGTACCGGAAAAGACGCGTTAAAACCGGTGCCAACTCCGGAGCACACGTCTTAAGCACAATGGGAGGGACTCCATTGGGCCCACTCTACTTGCTGACGTCCAGGGAGAAGAGTGCTTTGCGAACCGAGCGCTGTGTAAATCGCACATCCGGCATGGAGCACTCACATCGCGGGATGGTCGGCGGTGTGTTCCCCCCGTCATCTAGAGTCGAGTTAGACGCAAAAAGAGAGCACAACAGATCGGCTTTCTCTTTTGCGGCATGGGCCAGTGAGTCGTCCTCTCTGTGCAGAGATGGAAGGGATGGCTGACAGAAGTTCCCTTGGACAGCCTTGGCGAGAGACCAGAATGCACGGGTTCCCGAAGGAAGGCGAACTAGCTTCTCGCCAATTCTGCCGATGTGCTCAGACCTTGCCTTGGCAATGACGATTTTGAAGGACCTGAAGGCGGAATTATACTTCTTTTTAAGTGCGCTGGTCGTCAACATGGGGACGCGGCAATCAAACACCGAGATCGAGCTGAGACTGATTTATTCATATCCACCCTCAAGTATTACAATAATCTCTCACATCTCCCTTCTTAATGATAAGGAACAAAATTAAAATGGAGTTTTACTCTTGCATATTTTTATCACAAAAATAGTAAGACAATTGATTTTTACTATAAAACAATAATTTAAATAATATTACATATGTATATTAAATTAGTAAGTTATTCTGATTAATAATACATTATTATGCATTATATGTCTCTAACTACTCATCTTCCCCTCTCTTACAAATAAGAAAAATCAATTATGAAATCACTGGCATTACAATATGTGTATGTATAGTATGAAATGTTCATTTATTTACTTAAATTAAATTATTATTCTTTTTTTTTTAATCCGATCAATTTTTTTTATTAGTAATACTTATTTTATTTTTTAATTAATAAATCAATTACATTTATTTCATTTCTTAAGTAATAAATCTAAAATAATACACCAACTAACAAAAATTATAAGTCCAGTCAGGAATCGAACCTGGGACCTTTGATGTAATAAACTTGCATGCTGTGCAGCTTAAACAAACAAAAAATAACATCATGCCGGGTTTTGATAGTTTACATTTTTTTTTTACATACTTTATTTTCGTTATTTGAGCGTACGTTATAATTTAGAGTTTTGTTTTCACTGAACACGGTGACTGTGGTGACGCAGCTGCGCAGCTGTTCATCACCGCTGTTCAGTGTTCGAAGCCCAATCTATCCGGTAGCCTCACTGTCCTGCCGGAACGTGTGACATAATAATTATTGTTGTTTACTGTATTAGGTGAGGCTTCAGAAGGTATAGTACAGTTGGAAACTTGATTGTTTTGCGGGCAGTGAGGTCGGACATCATCGTAATTGTTTAAAGTATAGCGCGGCGCGTCCTGTCTATGTGGAGAATTTTTAATAATATGGCGTCTGTTACGTATAATAATGCTAATTTTATTTTATATGAACGATATCGCAGCTGACACAATATTGTCCCTGATAACCATTCTCTTTGGTTTACATCTAGTAGTACCCTTACTTTTTGTCCGTTACTTAATTGGTCTAGATTTCTAGATACTATGTTGGTCGTAGTAGTATTTTTGATTATTTTGCCTCATGACTAATTTATTATGTACATTCTTTTGTAATTTTGGTTTTAAAGTGTAATCTAACTTTGGTAACATACTTCTGAATTTCCTACTTTGCAATAACTCAGCTGGTGATGAAATATCATTTTCTAAAGGTGTGTTAAGATACTCTAGTAAAGCCAATCGATAATCAACTCTATCTTCTTTACTTTTAAGTATTATGTTTTTTACAGTTTGTACCATTCGCTCAATTTGTCCGTTAGATTGCGGATATCGTGGCGATGAGGTTATGTGTTTGAAATTCCATTCTAACGAAAACTGTCTAAACAGGCTTGATGAAAACTGTGGACCACAATCAGACATGACTACGTTCGGTATACCCTGACGATTAAATATGTTTTTTTAGGGTTTCAATTATACTCGCTGAAGTTGTACATTGTAATTTCTCTATTTCAAAAAATTTGCTATAGTAATCGACTAATAATAAATAATCCACACCTTTTATTTGAAATAGATCTGTACCTACTTTTGCCCATGGTCGGTCGGGAATTTCGTGAGGTTGCATTTCTTCCTTTTGGTTGTGTTTCCTGTACGTCAGGCATATACTACAATTAGATATTAAATTTTTTAAATCGTTATTTATTCCCGGCCAAAATATTGCCTCCCTTGCCCGCAATTGACATTTTTGCAACCCTACATGACCGACGTGTATCTTTTTTAACAAATCTTTTCTTAAGAGTTTTGGCACCACTATCCTTTGATCCTTCCAGACTAGACCATACGCGATCGATAAATGCTCTTTATAGCCCCAATATGGCTTTACCAAATCTATGACGTCATGTTTGTTTGCAGGCCACCCTTCTATTATGTATTTCCTCAACAACGCGAGTTCATCATCATTTTCTGAACTCTTTTGCAACTTAATAAACTGCAAGTCCGTAACTTCAGTCGCTGCGCTCAGTGCCATACCTCTTGTGATCGCGCCAACTTCATCGTGCTGTGTATAGTCAGCGCTGGAAACCTGCGCGCTCAACGCCGGCTCGGGCTCGTATGCTCGTGACAACGCGTCAGCAATTAATAGATGTTTACCAGCCTTGTAGACTAATTTGAATGTATAGAGTTGTAATTTCAATAACATCCGTTGTAGGCGCGATGGTGAGTCCACTATTGGTTTCTTTATAATGCTAACGAGTGGCTTGTGATCAGTTTCGATCACGACATCTGTTCTTCCGTAAATGTACGCATGAAACCTCTCACAAGCAAAAACGCAAGCGTATAACTCCTTCTCTATCTGAGCGTATCGCTGTTCTGCTTTTGACAATGACTTAGACGCATAACAAACTGGCATTCCATTTTGCATTAGACAGGCACCTAAGCCGCTTTTGCTCGCGTCTACTGAGATAGTAATAGGGAGGTCTAAGTCGTAATATCTTAACACTGGTGGTTTTGACTACACTAACACTGTTTTATAACTTTTAAACACTCGTCATGTCGTTCATCCCAGTGCCATTCCGTTTCTTTTTTTAACAACTCTCTCAACAACAATGTCTTATCAGATAAATTTGGTATAAAAGCACCCACGTAAGTAATTAGTCCTAGTAATCGCTCTACATCCTTTTTATTTCCAGATTTAGGCATGTTCGTAATTGCTGTAATGTGCGAGTTATCCGGATAAAGCCCCTTCTTTGTAATCCTGTGTCCCAAATACCTGATTTCTTCTAACCCAAATTTGCACTTATTTTTATTTAATTTGAGGTTGACTTTCCTGCACCTGTCCAATACTAATTTTAATCTTTCATCATGTTCTTTTTTGCTGCTACCGTATATTAATAAGTAGTCGATGTACATACAAACTCCATCTAAGTCATCAAAATTTTCGTATATTTTTTTATGAAACACCTTTGGTGCCGAGCATATGCCATAGGGTAACCTTAAGAATTTGTAACGTCCAAAGGGAGTGTTGAACGTGCACAACTCGCTAGTATCGTCTAAAGCCACCTGCCAGAACCCTGCTACCGCATCCAGAGTACTGAAATACCTAGCACCTGAAAGTTTTGATACAATCTCGTCGAGTGACGGTAACCTAAAATATTCTCTTTTGATCGCGCTATTTAATTCCTTCGGATCAAGACAAACTCGTATGTCTCCAATAGCTTTTTTAACAATAGTTAAACTACTTACCCAATCCGATGGGCCCTCTACTTTGGCTATAATGCCTTGTTTTTCCATCTCTTCCAATTTCATCTTAACTTTGTCTCTAATCGCGAACGGTAGTTTCCAAGGAGCATGAACAATCGGTACAACATTTTCATATAATTTTATTCTGTATTTCCCCGGTAAGCACCCTATACCCTGAAAAACGTTGTCGTACTGCCCTAAAAATGAGGAAACTCCGCTATCCTCCTGTATCGACATCACGCGTCTCACCATATCCAACTCACTGCACGCAAACCTGCCCAAGACCGGCATAGACTTAACATCTGCTATTTTAAATTCTAGCATGTACATTTTACTTTTGTAATAAACCTTTAAAGTGATTTTTCCTACTACTTTTATGGCGGTGCCCGAGTAGCCAGATAACTTGGTATTTGTTTTTAGCAAATCTTTATCCGAGACCCCAATTTGTGGCAAATAATACAACGGCAATATATTAACATCTGCCCCAGTATCTAATTTAAAATTAACAGACTTATTATTAATCATTAGGTTAACATTCCACTCACTACTAGATTTTACAGTATGTATTACCTACCTGCTCATCAGACTCCTCGACATTGAATACACTAGCACCACAGACTCTGGCAAAGTGATTCATTTTCGCACATCTTAGACACTGCTTGCGATACGCGGGACACTCAAACTTTTTATGTATACTGCCACAATTCCCACATTGCTTCACCCAAAGCGTCGAACCCGTGAAGGCACGCTCGCCTCGAGCGCGCCGTGGCGGGCGCTGGGCCGAGCGGGACGCGCCGCCGCGTACGCCGCGTCCGCCTATGCGCGCGTCCGCGCTCACGCCACCTACGCCACCGCGATATCCTCTCCTTGAATCCCTCCTGTGCCGCACACTCCAAATATTCTCATCATTTTCGACCGCTTGATTATAATTGTTGATTAAGAATGCTGATAACTGCTCCTGTTTAATGTTATCCGCATACACCCTCGATACTATCGCGACTCGACATATTTCTAATGCTTTACTTAAAGTTAGATCGTACTCCCTTAGTAGCCGTTCCCGAATAGCTGAATTGGATACGCCACATATCAGCCTATCTTTTATAAGACCGTCGCTTAAGGCCCCGAAATCGCATGTTTGAGCCAATTTCTGCAAGTCGAAAACATATTGTTCTATTGTCTCATTTTCTCTCTGGTTCCTTGTAAAAAATCGGTGTCGTTCCACTGTAGCATTAGGTTTTATATTAAAATGTCCATCCAATATTTGTAAGACAGCTTCCGCGGTAGTGCATTTTAAAAGTGAATCTTTGTTTTGGTCTAGGATTTCTCGGCATTGATCGCCAAGTACGTGCAATAATATATTAATTTGCACACTCGCCGCTTTGTTCGTTATTTCACATGCCTTTGTATAAATTTCATAGCTATTCCTCCATTTTGTCCAACTGGCACTTATATTTGCGTAGTCTGAACTCCCGTCGAAACGAAATGGTTTTGGTGGGCTTAAGACACCTTCCATAATTATTAAATGTTATTAACTAAACACTATTCGAATTAACTTGTAATATACTTAATAAACTTATTTACTTTTCCGACTGCACCATGTCAACATGGGGACGCGGCAATCAAACACCGAGATCGAGCTGAGACTGATTTATTCATATCCACCCTCAAGTATTACAATAATCTCTGTTTAAATCCCGAGACGTTGATGCGTCGGCCCAGGCCCGGTAGCACTCCTGCTTATAGCGTGCTGCTATTTTACAGGAGCGACCAAACCATGGCTGAGATCTGCCTCCGATGGGCACCACAGAGGATGGAATAAAAAGTTCCATACCCTGAAGTACCACATCAGCAACAGAATCGGCAACAACGTTGGGATCTTCCGGCGAGAAGCAAACCTGCCCCCAAGGGTAGGATGCAAAAAAAGACCGCATCCCGTCCCAATCAGCTGACCTATAGTGCCAAACACGGCGGCAAGCTGCAGATCGCAATTGCGATTGGAGCGTGAGTGGCACCGTGCTCCGGATCAGACAATGGTCCGAAGAGCCCAGAGGGGCATCGACGGAGACCTGATATCCGTCCGGATGAGAGGTCAGCAGAAGGTCCAACAGAGAAGGTACATGATCTTCCACATCTGGGATCCGCGTAGGCGAAGTAACCAGTTGTGTTAGATCATATGCCAAAGCAAAGTCGTAGACAGATCTACCCGCATGATCGGTTAAACGAGAACCAAGCCATTCAGCGTGGTGGGCGTTGAAATCACCGAGTATCACGATCTCTGCGGATGGGACCTGTTGTAGCACGGAGTCTGCAGCCATTTGGACGTGGTCGATGAGTCGGTCTGTGTCGGCATTACCGCTATGGGACCTATAGAGGCACCCGTAGACGCAGGGATGGTCGTCGCTGTCTACGCGCAGCCATAGGAAGGACAGGATGTCCTCTCTGACGTAAACACAAACTCCAGCCCGGGGCACAAAGGAGTGTTCCAATTTGTATCCCGGGTAGAAGAGATATGAAGTATCAGCCGGAGAGGACACCTGAGTCTCGGTTAAAAAGAGCAAGGCCGGCTTCGCCGTCTCTAGATGGTAATGGACAGCGTTAAGGTTGGAATGAAGTCCCCTGATGTTGCAAAAATTCACGGATAGCGTGACAGGGGTCGCCTTGGTTGTATTGCTCCGCTTGCCCCGAGCAGCATTAGTTATTATCCATCAATTAGATATTATTTTAAACGGGAATGTTTCAAACCATTTTCAAAGTGAATCGAGTTCGTTTTGTTTAACTTTTCTAAGCCAAATTCAAAAGTTTGATGTCGATTTAGTTAATTTCGTATTTCGTAGAACAATTACTTAAGTGTGGTGTTACTAGCCAGTGAATATTTAGTTTATGGTGATTTATTAGAGTCGTTTTACTTAATGAAAATGTTTTACGAATAATAATGGGTTGCTGAAAACGGTGTGTTCTAAGATGCTTCCATAATCATCTAAAATTGAGTGCCCAAGTTTATTTCTGTGTATCTAATAACTGTTAATAATATATTTAAATCTCTATGAAAATAATTGTTTTATTTCTGTTTGGTCAAATTAACCGTGTGCCATTCCAATTTTCTACTTACTTTATTTATTTATTTATTCTTTTTTACATCTACCTTATAATAAGGGATATAAAGGGCGGACTTAATGCCTTGTGGCATTCTCTACCAGTCAACCCTGGATGATTTGAGATGCTGTGGTAGGTGCAACACCACTCATAAATTAATAAATAAGTAAAAACATTATATCTTATAACAAAAAGCAAATAAATAAAATATTTTTAAACTATACAAACTTAATATTATCTACTTTGTAATAAACAGAAAAATAATTAATAGTAAATATATAAACGGATAAAATATACTTATATATACAAAATATAAACGGATATAATATACATATATATACAAAATCTCTAAATAAATATAAAATAATATAACACAAAAATAAAATAACATGATGCATATTAAAATACATATTATACAAAATATCAATTACAAAGCGAAAGAGTGAGAAAAACAAAAATCGGATAAATCAGGTGGTATTATTCCTGTTAAAGAATTCTCGAACAAGTCTTTTAAAATATTGTTTGTTACTGGTTTTTTTGATATGAACAGGCAAGGCATTCCAGAGCAGTATTGACTGTACTGTAAAAGAGACTGTAAAAGAGGAATTAAAGAAACCACTCTATGTGGTGGAATACGAATTTTAAGACTATTTTGGGAATCGGGAACTCTATCATGAGTAGAACTGAAAGTTATCCTTAAGATAAGAAGGAGAATTTGGGTCATTTAAAATTGAATATAGTACTTGTAAAATTCGGGAGCTACGCCTTTGACGAATAGAAAGCCATTTAAGCTTAGAACGGTACTGAGAAACATGGTCATACTTACGTAAGCCGAAAATGAACCTAATGCAATTGTTGAGAAGGCGCTCCAACTTATCGAGAAGATATTGAGATAGATCTGGGTAACACACATCCGCATAATCAATAATGGGTAATATCAAAGTCTGGACAAGTAGAAGTTTAGTTTTAAAAGGCAGAAAGTTTTTGAGACGGCAAAGAGATCGTAAGGTGGCAGTAACTTTACGGCTTATTTCAGCAACTTGAACTCCCCAGCTCAAGGTATGGTCTATATGTAAGCCAAGATTTGTAATAGATTTACAAAATGGCAGCAATGTTCCATTGTAAAATACGGGAGAAAGATCATTGTTATTAATCTTGGCTAATATTCTGCTACTACCTATAACCATTACCTTACATTTGGAAGGGTTAACCGAAACACCATATATGTACGACCAATCTCTTATGGCATCAAGGTTGTGGTTGATTTTGTGAATATTATGGTTAAGGTCATTAACACTAGATTGCACATAGAGCTGAAGATCATCTGCATACAGATGGTACGAACAGTTGAGAACTGAAGTAATAGAATTTATAAATAGAGAAAACATTATAGGAGAAAGTATTCCGCCTTGCGGCACGCCTGTTTCAATGTCATCCCATGTTGAAGACTGTTGTCTTAATCGAATTGATTGCTGGCGGCCGCGAAGATAGGATGAAAACCATTCCAAAGCTGGGATTGAGAATCTAAGATTAGCTAGGAAGGCTATAAGGATATCGTGGTCGACTGTGTTAAAAGCATTTGAAAAATCAACAAGTACTACCACTGTAAGCTTCTGCTCATCCATTCCCATTCGAATGTCATCTGTGACTTTTATCAAGGCAGTGGTAGTACTATGACCTGCTCGAAAGCCTGACTGATATTTATTCAGCAGGTTATGAACATAGAGATTTGCTTGTGAACACATGCTTCCAGAACTTTAGATAGGTACGGCAAAATTGAAATTGGTCTAAAATGGGTAGGTAATAAGGGATTAGGTATTTTAGGAAGTGGTCGCACAAATGCATTTTTCCACTGAGTAGGATATTGTCCTGAGTCAAGGGAAAAGTTTACGATATGTGTGATTGCAGGCAAAAGGCACTCAAGGATCATGGATATCATAACCTTACTAACCTCATCGCAACTCACAGCCTTGGATTTAATAGCTAATACTGATTTCTGGATCTCATCTTCAGTCACAGGTAAAAAGTGAAAAAAAGGAATAGGAGGAGAAGGCATGGATTGAATGGAAGCTATTGTTGTAGAACGAACTGTGGGATCCAAAGGAGAAGTAGAGATAAAATGATGATTTATTTCATCCAGAGTGATTGATGGACCATGATCAGATGTAACAGACTTACTAATACCAAGTGTTTTAAGAAATTTCCACACATCGGCGGTCGAAGAATTTGTAATATTGCTATGGATATAACGGCGTTTAGCATTTCGTACCATCTGATTGCATCTGTTTCTCAGCATTTTGTAACAATCCCAGCTCTCCTGAGTACGATGCTTCTTAAATTTGACAAATGCTCGATCTCGCCTAGTCATTGCCACCTTTACGGCCCTAGTCATCCACGGGGCTGGTGGACGCTTTACTCTTACTTGATGTTTAGGAGCATGATTGTTGTACAGACTAAGAACTATATTATTAAGCACGGAGACTTTATCGTCAATAGAAGTTGATTTAAAAACAGGGGTTAAGTCCATACGATATGCGTCACTTTTAAGTTTATCAGAATCAATTTTAGCGAAATTACGAATATATAGTACTGCGGGATTGTGCTTAGGAGAAACAAGCTTATATGATATATAAGTAAGGTCATGTCGTGAAAAAGCAGGAGCCAATAGTTGTCCGTGCCCAATAACATAATCGGGAGAAGCTGTGATAATATGATCAATCCATGAGTCATCAGTGTCAATGTTGTGGTGAGTTGCCTCTAAGGGGAGAATGTGGAGATCGACTGACTCTATGACTGACCGAAATTTTTGAGAACGAGAAGAATTTCTCAACAAATCAGTATTGAAATCACCCATTATTATGCAGGGCGTGTACTCAGATGAAATGGTAGAGAGAGAGCTTTCAAAAGCGTTGAAAAAGTTAATAGCAGGTGGACAGTATACTACCCCAAGAATTGCCTTTACACCTTTGATATCGATTTCCAGAAACAGAAACTCCAATGAGGCAGAATAAGGAGATGGTGAAGCTAAAATTGTTTTATAAGGAATATTTGCTCTCAGGTATTTGGCGACACCTCCACCTCATTTTTCAGTCCGGTCGTTACGCACAAGAACAAAGTTATTTAAGGGATACATGCTGGACATTATTGAAGGCTTTAGCCAACTTTCTGATACTAAGATTGCATGAACACAATCTATAGAAAAAACTTCTTCAAAATAAGAGTAATGACCCGGTATGCTCTGAGCATTAACATGACATACATTTAGAAAATTTTTACAAGGAGTAAGTAAATTAATAAGCTCATCGCGGAGGGAGGGCAAGCTATTAGTATAATCACAAGACTCGAACGAGACATCTGAATCATGTGCAGAATAAAAAGATTCATCATCCGACGTAGCTGACATAATAATAATATGTATAT